AGAGAGAGAGAGAGAGAGAGAGAGAGAGAGAGAGAGAGAGAGAGAGAAAAAAAGGTTGGCTGTCTCTAAAAATGAGAGTAAAAATTAGGGTTTCACCCCTTCTAAAGATTTGATGGGTGTACTGTGTGTATGTGTAGTTGAAATGCAAGACTCACAATTCTTTATATATGCAAATTGACACGTTTCCTTTGTCCTCTAGGCAAAAGAATATCTTCTCTTATCCCCCAAAGATCCCTTTTATCTATTAGTCATTGTCCATTGAATTGTTCAACTCTTTAACCAAAGGATAAAGTGTAATTAACCAAAAGATAAAAGCACAACTAGTCTCGTTACCGAAAGTTGACAAGATATCTGTGGCTTGACAAGATATCTGTGCCTTGACTAGTTTTATCTCCCGAATAAATTCTACCTACTTTCATGTAATTAATGGATTGTGCTATTAATTTAAAGATAATTATTTAATAGAAAATTTGGCTCGTAGTATTTATTTAAATTGCCAATGATTACAGTAATATTATAGTAGATAGTTTCTTTTTTCTTTTTTTAAATGATAATAAATTGATAAAAATCAAATATTTGGAAAATGGAACAATTATTAATAAATTATATGAAAATTTAGAAAATACACAAAAATTTTGATAATTGAGTAACTGCAATAAAATGATAAAAATTTCTGTATTTTACAAAAATAAAAATAATTATCAATAAATTATATTTTTGTTAAAAAATGTGAAAAAGCTAATTTTACCCTTAGTAACTAGGAGCCTCAGAAGTTAATTTTTAAATTTGGAGAGCCAAAATTGGGTGTCAATAGATAGCGATATGATGCTAGTGTAAATGAATATGAAAGTGCAATTGAATGTTGTACAACCGTTGATAGAAAAGCTGACAGAAATGATAGAATAACATATGAAGGAAATTATTGCTGAATATGACCGTATCTATGAAGGACTGCAACAATTGTATATGGATGGGCCACCAAGATGACAATGAAACTATCCTCAAATTACGTGGAATAACGAGTGATGTATTTTGTATTCGTCAAAAATGAGAATCGTATTGTTATATTACTTCCTTCGTCCTAATTTATGTGGCGATATTTGACTCAATATGAAATTTAAGAAAGAAAGAAAGAAAATTTTTAAAAATTATGATCTAAAATAAATTATAGATATTTATGTGATTTTAAATCAATTTTTAAGGATAAAATAGGAATTCTAAAAAGAATTGTTTTCTAAATAAGGAAAGTACGTTCTTTCCGGAACAAATGAGTCCCACATAAATTTGAATGAAGGGAATAGACTAAAAATAAATACAATATCTTCTTTTTTTTCTGGTGTTGCGTTAACTTTTACACAATTACCTTCTATACTTACAATTCAGTGTGAATACAATATTGTCTACAAAAAGAGACAGATAGAACCTTCACCTTCTTAGTAACAAAATATGCAATTATTACCATTTTTTCTGAGATTATGTATTACACCGGTTACTACGTTTCTTCATCGTCTTAAGACAAATGCTACCAAGTTATCGGTGAATGATAACTTGGTAGCATTTATATTAAGATGATGAAGATACATAGTAATTAGTGTATATATATATATATTTAAGATTGCTACTTCGCTTGTGCAGGTCCATCAATTGGATGGCAAGGGTGTGACAGTAAATTCAGTTTTTTTTTCTGCGTATATTGCTACTTTGCTTGTGCGGGATCCATCCCATTTATGATTAAAGAAGAATTTTCTACCGACCTATTATTTAGATGGCAAAGGGCGATAAAAGTAAATTTAATTTTTTTTCTACCTATATTGTTACTTCGCTCGTGCGGGCGGGGTCTATCCCATTTATAATTGAAGAAGAATTTTATGGCAACCTATGATTCAGTTTTATTTTTCCGCCTATATTGCTATTTTGCTCGTGCAGGATCCATCCCAATTATCATTGAAGAAGAATTTTTTGACATCCTATTAATTGGATGGCAAAGGGTGGTGAAAGTAAATTTAAATTTTTTTTTTACTGCCTATATTGCTACTTTGATCGTTCGAGGTCCATCCCATTTATGATTGGAGAAGAATTTTCTGTCAACCTATTAATTTGATGGCAAAAGGTGTGAAAGGGAATTTTGTTTTTTTTTTTTTTTTTGACCTATATTGCTACTTGTCCGTCCCATTTATGATTGAAGAAGAATTTTATGCTAACCTATTAATTGGATGGCAAAGGGTAGTGAAAGTAAATTCAATTTTTTTTGCTGCCTATATGCTACTTCGCTTGTGCGGGGTCTATTCTATTTATGGTTGAAGAAGAATTTTCTACCAACTTATTAATTGGATGACAAAGGGTGGTGAAAGTAAATTCAATTTTTTTGCACCTATATTGCTACTTCGCTTGTACGGGGTCCATCCCATCTATTACCGAAGAAGAATTTTTTGCCAACCTATTAATTGATGGCAAAGGGTGGTAAAAGTAAATTCAGTTCTTTTTCTGCATAGGCAAAAACAAACTAAATTTACTTTCACCACCACTTGCCATCCAATTAATAGGTTGGCAGAAAATTCTTTTTCAATCTTAAATGGGATAGACCCCACAAGCGGTTGTTTAATGCAAATATTCTCTGCAAGGGCTGTTTAATGTTAGTGAATATCCTCTCATTGAATGTTATACGATGGCACACCTTTGAATTTCTATCGTCAACTATGTTTCCTTGGAATCTGCTCGGTACCGGCCACACCCGTTGTATCGGCTGTTTCCCGACTCGTCCTTTGTCTATCTTCGGTTCCACGTGGTATGTTATCATTTGACCATCTGTTATCAACCGGTTTTACCCCATACAACATCAAAAGAAGAGTTTAATCCCTCCTTGTGGCAAAGGTTATTGTTTTCGGCAAAGGGCCAAATATACCCCTATACTTTCGAAAATGGTCTAAGAATACCCCTCGTTATACTATTGGGTTATCTATATTCCTGCAGTCATACTTTGGGTTCAAATATACCCCCCATTTAAACGGAGGGACACGTGTCATCGTCTCGTTGGTCAATTCTAAATATCTCCTATTTAATTAAAAAAACTCATTACACATACCCGAAAAATAATTTGTTTTTGTAAAAATTTGGGTTCAAAAATTTAGTTTTTTTCAGTTTTTACAAAAAAAAATATTATTTTTCGGGTATGGGTAATGGGTCTTTTTAATTAATTAGAAGATATTTAGAATTGACCAACAAGACGATGACACGTGTCCCTCCGTTTAAATGATGGGTATATTTGAACCCAAAGTATGACTGCAGGGGTATAGATAATCCAATAATATAACGAGGGGTATTCTTAGACCATTTTAGAAAGTAAAGGTGCATATTTGGCTCTTTGCCGTATTATTTTTCCTTTGTTCTCTTGGAGCCTGGCTATAAAAAGGGAACGATCAAGTGAGAGGGTGTATAAATAAGAAAGGAAAGACCAACAATTAACGGCTTCCAAATTAGGATCAACTTAGACAAGGATGGCAAGCGCAGTTAGTATTCCCACAATTGATCTGTCAACTTTCTTCTTGAATGAAGAAGATCGAGAGGGCAAGAAGAAGGTCACTGACATAATCAAACAAGCCTGCTCTGAGTACGGCTTATTTCAAGTGGTAAACCATGGCGTACCCATAGATTTCATTCACCAAGCTATGGAGTTGTCGTTATTTTGTTGACAAGAATTCTTTGATCAACCATGGTGGATATTTTGTTGAGTTATCGTTACTTCCCAGGACCCTACTGTTTTGAGTCTCATATTTCAGGATGATGCTGGAGGTTTAGAAGTTCTCATTGATAGGGAATGGATACCTGTCACTCCAACTGAGGGTGCCTTGGTCTTCCATATAAGCGATGTTCTTCAGGTAACAAAGAAATTACTAATTAACAAGAGCTACAAAATGAAATGTTTTAGATTTGATTGTATTAATTTCATCCTTGCTAATTGCTTGAATGTATGCATGGCAAATTGGCAGGTGCTAACCAACGACAGATTTGTGAGCCCTTTCCACCAAGTGGTGAGGCCCAAGGGAAAAAGTCGTTACGTTTTTGTATTTTTCTACAATTTGAATGGAGATAAATGGGTTGAACCATTGCCACAATTTAGTAAAGAAATCGGGGAGCCTCCAAAATATAGGAGATTCCAATATAAGGATTACTTTGGTGTGAGAGTAAAAGAGAAGTTGAATCCTCCAGCCAGGCACGAAGACAATACAACATTAATCACCTTTGCCTCTGCGACTTAGAGACAATTGAACTACTGCATTTTGCTTGATTTTCTATGTTGTATCTTGAGTATAATAACGTCGTGAGTGAGTTTATATTTGCAAAGGATATCCAGTCCAATCCATGCTTGGGTTAAATGTATATTTGCCAAAAACTTTCTATTCGTATTTTCAAACTCACAGACGAAGTGGTGAAGCATATATAGCGATGCCCCTAGCAAAATGGGGAGCTCCCTAAAAGCAATGTCATCTTCTTCAGTTAGTATAGAATAGATTTCGTAACCAAAACTCCAGTAATCGATTCAACCTAATAAACGAGCACTTTCTTCCAGACTTCTCTTGATTATTAACCATAAATAAATGTCATAAAATAACCCCCTCCTTAATTGAATACCTCATTATATGTTCCAAAATCACTAGAAACTGAAAGCTTCTGCTTTAAATTAAACAAGCTTCCGAGAATCTCCAGTATCGGTAATTCCGTTCTTATGCAACATTCATCGCCTGTTTACGCACATCAAAAGACCCTGATTATTCGATCATTGAAGATGAGAACTAAAAAGATGTGGTGTTCTATAAAAGCGCATAAGTTAGGAAACGAGCACTGTGGAGGCTTTTTCCAGATAGAAAGACAAAATCTCTACTTCACTATTTAAGCTATTAGTGAGCATATAATATATATAATCCATGATCATAACTCCATAACCTAACATTATCAGTATTTGCCAGACTAACACTTAATTAATCAAACTAGAAGTGTCATAAAATCACGCGCTTTCCTTTTTTTCCCTTTGGGAGGGAGGGTGGAGGGGGGAGCAAGCCAGCCTAATGAAATAACATTTTTGAACCTCCGGAATTGGATATTTTGCTTATAAGTTAAAACCATACAAGAAGAGAAAAGGTATAGTCACCACAGTTATTCTGTTCTTTGGCAACACTCAAAGCCTCTTTACAGACATTAAACCCTGATGATTAAAACCATTGAAGACGAGATCCCAAAGTACGAGGCGATTATCTGCCTTCATTCTTCATCACCATCCTCATCCTCCTCCTCTTCTTCCTCTTCGTCTTCAGAGCCTTCACTGTCCTTTCCCTGCATTAGCATTCAAGTCAAATCAACCAATTCAACAATTTGACCAGAGAACATTTATCTGCAATCTTAATAACATCAGGAAGACTTAAAGCCAGTTTTACAATTTTAAGCCATTAATGACTCTTTCTGCTCTTGACAAGAGCCCTCAAGAACCATTAAACACAGGTCTTTTCACCTGATATAATCAACAACAGGAAAGTAATCAAGAAGTGATTTGTGCCCACATTCCCGAAAATCTACAGTGCACAACATATCAATACGATAGTATCAGAATATTGTTCCTCTGCCAAAAAGAATGGCGCACATCATAATGATACTTCTCTACCAATGACCCTATGAGCAATTCAACAGTAACTTATCAAGGATCAAAGAACACCAGAGGTTTGAAAATTATCCATCCATCTGAATTCACTTCTAAGCTGTCCTGACCAATATTGGACCATATACACTATGGTCTAACCAAGGAAAGAGAAGATAAAGTGAGGGGAATTACATGTATACTTCCCCCAAGTTTTAAAAAATTACCCTTCTACTCATGTTTGACAAAACTGGAAAAAGAAAAGGTAAAAGATATTATTTCTTCCTTAGTCGAATTTGGGAGAGGTTGGAAATATTGTATCCACTCTACTTTTATTTCCTAATCAATGAAGGGTAACAACACTGAGCGGTCCTGCTACCCATCCCTCATTCTAAACAAATAGCTTGTAGCTTCCGACAGAGACCTATATCCTACGCCCAAGAACAAAATAAGAATGCGGAGTCTCCATCGAAATAAAGATTTGTTCAATGCTAGAAGGTAACCTGGTCTTTTTAAACGTAACAATAACGACTCACCTACCCTGCCCAAAACTTAAACCTACTATTTTCTCTCTTTACGATGTTCTAAAGGCGGCTGCATTCTAACCTTCTGGACTTGATATCAGACTCATTTTGCAAAGAGCAAAGATACAAAAGCACTGCCGTCAACCCCTTGCCTTTCACCCTCTGGTGTCTTATATTTTTCAGGTCCCCTTTCTTTACTTTTGACTTGAAATAAGACCAATAAAGGTTTGTGGAAAGCATAGTAAATGAATCTTCTGAGGCTCACAACCGAGCTGAAAACTGATCAGAAATAATGTAAAAAATGTAGCATGAGCATTAAAAGAAGAGAAGGAAACTACCACAACAAAGATATGGGAGGTTGCAGATCTTAGGATTTTAGAGCCTCCACGGAATAATCAGACTATGCTTACAATTTATGCTTCTATGAAGACAAATAAAATGAGGAAAATTCTTGAAAAGCTCAAAAGGCCTCTAATCTCAAGAGCAAGCTCTGTTGCTATTGTATTGACATAGTAAGTAGGGAGAGACAAAAGGACAAAGGAAGTTATACATGGAAAATAGTTTTTCACCAAAAAGTGCTTAAGGTAGGAGTAAGAAAACGCTTAGTAAGCACTCAATCTAATGCCATCATTACAGCAAGCTTTACTCAACAGTTTACTTATGCAACAAAAAATCACCCAAGGTAGCAACCAAAACCATACACTTGAATTCTAGTGATAAGGTAGTTACAACCTCAAGCTCCACTCAACTCCAGAGTCTTCTTCCACCCTCAATGAACCTTTATTACTTACGATCTTTGACCTTGGGAAGTACCTTATTATGAAGCTGATCCATCAATTAGGAAGAATGTTCGACATCATTTACAAGAAAGGACAGATATAATGCAAGAGTTTAATAAGGAAATGAAATATTCTTAGAAAAATGTATGCCCAAAGAGAAACACACAAACAGTCACAAAAAACTAAGTATTCATGTACTTATCCATGATACAGATATGACACTAACGAAGTGATTTTTACCTCGTCACCATCAAAATCTTCTTCATCAGGCTCCTGTGGTATAATATGCATAGATGATGTTATCAAAAGCAATTCATGACTAAATTTTTATTAAATAAAATAAGGACTCGAATGGAACTAACATTGTTAAAATAGGTGAGCGGGTTCGGCCACAAGTCATCCTTAATTATGTCAGCGACCTGCAAAAGCGACAAAGGTACAAAGTGTCAAAATGAAAATCTTTCAGCAGAAATTTTACCTCAGTCTCTACCAAATTAGCACTGTTAACCCTACCTCCCCCCTAAAAAAGAAAATGGAAAATTGGAAAGAAAAAATCATCAGGAAGAAATCTGCAGAAGATATAAACATATACCTCATCCTGAATCTCTAGAGCCTCATCCTCATCCTCATCTTTTTGATTGACTTCACTGAACCATGTAAAGAAGCTGCATAGAAAACCCGAAGAGGGGAAGCAACTGAGCAAGGATGACCAGACCTATCACATTGCAATGTTTATCAAGAAAGTGCTAGAACATAAACTACAGAAAATAAGGCCAGTGAGGACATAGTACTGCTACAGTAATTTTAAAGCTGCAACAACAACAACAAAAAACCCAGTGAAATCCCATAAATGGGGTATGGGGAGGGTAGTGTGTACGCGGACCTTACCCCTACCTTATAAAGATAGAGAGGTTGTTTCCGATAGACCCTCGGCTCATGGAACAGTAGAGATAAGATAAAGCAACCAAGTAGTAAACAAAGGTGACAACAATGTATTATGGTGACGAGCGTGAATGACACAACAACACCAACCACAACAACAACAAACACATGTAATAATAAAGAACCATGACTAAGATAATACAAAAATAGTCTTAGTACTACTGGTAAGCCTAGGAGGAACATACTACTAACTGTCAACCTGCAACCCTAATCCTCGACCTCCACACCTTCCTATCGTGGGTCATATCCTCGATAAGCTGAAGCAATGACATGTCCTGCTTAATAACCTCTCCCCAATACTTCTTAGGCCCGCCCCTTCCCCTCCGCAGACCCGCCATGGACAACCCCTCACACCTCCTGACCGGTGCATCTATGTCTCTCCTCTTCACATGCCCGAACCATCTCATCCTAGATTCCCTCAACTTGTCCTCCACAGATGTCACTCCTACCTTGTCCCTAATAACTTCATTCTTAATCATGTCCTTCCTGGTATGCTCACACATCCATCTCAACATCCTCATTTCAGCTACTTTCATCTTCTGAACATGGGATTTCTTGACAGGCCAGCATTCAGCCCCATACAACATAGCCGGTCTGACCACCACTCTATAGAACTTGCCCTTAAGTCCAGGTGGCACATTCTTATCACACAAAACCCATGAGGCGAGCCTCCATCTCATCCACCAAGCCCCAATACGAAGAGTAATTTCATAGCTGCATTAACCAAAATTACCGGCATGATTTCTAAAGAATCTCGGCTTCTGTTCTCATTATGATGACCAAGCTCAGTCTCACCATTAACCAAAAACCAGCAATTTTGAAGCAAAACAATCCAGTTACCAATATTGTCTATGATGAATTGGGTATGCTATTCGAAAGGCACTACAATAGACCAATTATACGCCCCATAAGTGATAGTCTGCATCGACAAACACTCAAGCATTAAGGGGTCGTTTGGTTGATGGTTTGGAATAAATAATACCAGCATAAAATCCCGCATAAGATAATACAGTGTTTGGTTGGCCGCATAAGCAAAAATAATCGCCGCGTAACTAATATAGTGTTTGGTTGGAGGTATTAGATAATATTTGCATTAAACTATGCGGGAATCTATGTAATATTTTATGCAACATTAAATTTGAAATTAGAATGTGTATTAGCGATATAGGGTTTAAACTATTTAAAGACAAAAAACTCCCCTTTTAAAATAAGTGATTTATGTTTAACAATGTCCTCATCATTAATCAATACATAACAATCCCCTCATTATTAATCCCCACAAAAACAATTCATACATTATAATCCCCTTATAACTAGTATGTGAACCAAACACCTCTGACATATCATCAACAAAGTTTGACATGAGCAAGCCTACCATCAGACATTAGGCAAACCAAGGTTCCCGGCGATATAACAGTGAATTAAGTTGAGTCTTAGCATAAAATCAATAAATAGCCAAATTTGATTAAATTTAGATTATATAGAAATGCTAAAAATAAGTAAACTCACCTTTCCTCAGCATGAGATCGCTTGTTTCCTTTCTTCTCATGTGCAACTCCATTAGGAATGCCCTTCAAAGAGTCGACCAACATAATTAATATGACGAGATATAGAATGTACAGAACATGTCACATCTCAAGCTGCAAAATGGAAACTTACCATGCCTTCTTTCCATTTTATTGTTGTAGCAGAAATCTTTGTGGGTCCATCTTCAAGGAAGGTATAGGTCTTTGAGAGCTTTGTATTTTCAAAATAAGGATTCGCATTGAAGTTCTGTCAAAAAAAGGAGATCAACATTCTGAATTTCCCAAATAAAAAGAAGAAAAAGAAAAAAGCAACATATACCGATGTACATTAATTTCATGTGGGGGAGGAAACTTACAAAGGTTATCGAGTAGCCCGACTTCACATCTTTAGAGTCTTCAACTTCAATTGAACTTAGAAACTTGAAGATCTAGCATGGTATAAGGCAGTTACATTTTGAGATGCAGAACTCAAGAAGCATTTAAAGGATAAATCAAATTTTTATTGTAGAAGACAGCCTCATTGCTAATTCAGCATTGACTCATTAAAAGTAATAACAAGTTCAGCATTGATAAAACTTGGCCAAATCAATAGCAGTAGAGTTGGTAATAATCCAGTTTAATATAGTGTTATAAGCAACAGATTAGAACCAAACCTTTTGGTCTTCTTCAGCTAGAAGTTCACCTAGGACAGGATGACTCAAAAACTGCAAGTAAATGAGACAAGTCAATAAGATGAGAAGCACTTCAGAATTTAAACAACTTAGAGAGGAGTATCAGGATAGGATCACCAACAGCAGTCAACCAGAAGTCCGGGATAGCTTTAATGATGTCGTTTCGTTTATCATAGACAGGCTTGCGGATCTCATTGTACTTCTGTTCCACTTCCAATACTTTATCACTTGCTTCCTCATTGATCTGCTAGGTAAATTTAAATGCTCATTAGTTAACATGTAAGACCAATTAAACAAAAGAAATCTAGCAATCAACTCTTAGTTATTTTTCCATAGCTAAAAAAAATAATCTTTGTTTCACCTAAATTAGATTATACCCTGACGACCAGCTTATGTTGTGAGCACAGTAGCAAAACAGCCCATATTCTCGTACTTTTAATGATGTTCCAAAAAATCATGGAGTCGAACTATATGCTATAGATACTACCACATGCATTCAAAGAAGGGAAGCTTACGAAGCAAGGTTCTCAGCTATCACACACTTTTTCTTTGTCATCTTGCGTATAAAGGAAGATCTAAGAGTGCCACCAATATAGAAATTGTCCCAGTTCTCTATGTTCTTTTCATTATTTTGGTTTAGATTGGTGGTGCTTTTAGAAATATGCTCCAACGGTGTTTTCCAGATTGAACTTTGGCGGACGAAAGATGGATTACTAGATTATTCCTCCAATGAGTTCTCCTAAATCTTCTTTTTAATGAAAAGGTAAAGGATTTATATAAAAAAGTTGAGGCGCGTCACCGGCGGAGCAGGTGACATTTTTAATGTCAAACGACAAAATGATGCATTAGAATAATGAAACTTAACTCAAAAGGGAAAAAAAACAGAAATGTAAATTGGAACCCACAGATGCAAACTAGTTGTTATTCTCATTAAACTTAGAAGCCAATTTTTTTCTTTTTTTATAACGGTCCAGTTTATGCGCACCTCGACTATTCCATCGGGTACCTGCTACCTCCCAGTACCGAGTAATCTTCCCACCAAGACTTAAGCAGATGGGAAGAAAGCACCTATATGTTTTTGTCTCTGCTGGTTTTCCAAGGTTTGTATCTACTTCACTGACCACTAGGTCAACTCTCTTGGATGCAACTTAGAAGCCAAATTTGGGCCTTTCTTCCACCACAGAAATAAAGACAAGGATCACCAATCTTGTAAATACTTACTGCTAAAACAGGAACTAAAACATACGATGCCGCATAACATATCCAAAAAGAAAAGAAAAAGGACAACATGCCCCAAATCACAAAAATTAATGAAGACAATCCTTTTTTTTCCTCTATACGAGTTTCACACGTTGTAACTCAGATATTATCTTGCCAATCTAAACCTCAAGGTTATTCCTCTCGCGTAGCTTATGTCGTTGTCGAGCATGAGTTGTTTGCAAGGAAGAAAAAATACATAAACAAGGTTACACTCACTTTTCGTTCAAGCTAAGCATTTTACCATTACTTCAACAAAAAGACGACACTTTGCGTCCACAATAAGAGGATGCCACGATATCTTATTTCACTGTTACAGACTCACCAATTTGCAAAACTTAGGGCCAATACGAAGAGGCATATAATGCAAAAATTAAATTTACACACCAATTCGCAAAAATTGGGACCAATAAGGGGAGGCATATATTGCAAAAATTAAATCTTCCCAGGTTTCAATATACAAATAAGGGGAAAACCCAGATAATAATATATCAACACACGCAAAGAAATAAATTCCATGCCACTGCAACAACCTTCCACTTACAAAATCCGCTTCAAAATGCCAAATTGGATGAATCACACCCTATTTAGAAGCTGGTACCACCAAATTCTCTATTAGAAACATCAAAGGTCCTCTTTTTCACTCAAATTAATTCTTTAAAAAAAGAGTATATGTTACTAATACTCCATAAGCACTAACTCAAAAATTGTTATAAAGTAGTAGATGCAGTGTACTCCGAACACACTTAAGATCTTGGATTATAAACACAAAGGGGGTAAAATATTTCCTTTTTACCTCAAAATTTAATTTAAAAAAATCATATTTAGGAAGAAATGGATTACTTTACCTTCTCAAGCTCGTCTTGTATTTCTTGCAATTTTTCAATGGAAAAAACAAGCTCACCATCAATGGTGTTGTTCTCTTCATCTACTTTTTGCTTCTTCCCTTTGTCAGCACCCATCTTTTTCTCTTCTCTGGAAAAAACAGGCAACAGAGCTTGCAAGTGCTCTTTGTTGGAGTGGTACTGCCTTAAACCCTAAACACGCCTAAACCCATGGGTTTTATATGTGGTGAAAGTGGAACAGTGCACGTGTGACTTTTGTACATGGGTCACAACATATAATGGTTTAGGGTTTTTACGAAAATATAGTAACAGTAACTCTCGCATACTTATATAACTATATATGTTCTCTATAAAGTCACTTTATTATAATATTTAAAAATAATATTCAGAACAAACAAATTATTGTATAAGGAAATAACACAATATAGGTTTAAGGAAACTTTGGTCCTAACTTTATCTAATTTTCTCGATTCAAATTCAATTCAATAAAATAAAAAAACGCATAAATATAAATTAATAAAATCAAGTAAACGTCTACGCCCCTTTCACTCAAACACGTTGTATTTAAATCGTAGTCATAAGCAAATTGCCACTTACTAATATTTGTAATAAGAGTAATTTTAAGAAGGAAAATACACCCCCTTCGTCAACAAAAAAAAAAAAATTCAATACTGGAATTGACATCTTATTCGAATAATTTTAGTCATAAGAATAAGATCTTTTGAACGATAAAAAGAACACTCAACAAAGTATGAAATAAGTCAATGAACTAATATGAATAAACCCCTTGCCCAGGTTGCCTATTGTTAATACTCAATTCTCTCTCTTAAAATCATATTCAACTTCTTTTGGCTATGCATATTTTATAATACAGACATAACTTTATATAACATATTCTGTATATAACAATCATTCACTATAAAAGTCATATTTTTTCGAAACCGATTTTTATATTATATTATAATATATATCCTGTATAACATCACTTCACTATAGCAATCAAAAAATATCGGAACAAATGAAACTGTATAGAGAGATTTGATTGTACTAGTCTTAAAATACGTGTGATGCACGTGTACCTATGTTAATGTATATAAAGATTTAAAAATATATATATAAATATTATTAATAATATTATTAAGTAATAAAATAAAATTTAAAAAATTAAAATTCTTGAAAATAAGAATATTTGGTGCTATCTAGTCAACAAAGCAGAGAATGGCTTAGCAAATCATGAAAATGACCAAGATAGTGGTGAAAGCTCAGTGATTTTTTATGTATCCCTTTCTTTTGTTTTAGTTTCTTATCAACATGATCTTCTAGATACCATGTATTCTAGACAAGTTAACAAAAAATAAAAAAGAATTAGCGACGGATAAGTTATGTAGTTTAAACAATAAAAATTCATCATAAATCCTATTAAGTGACGAATTAGCGAGAGATATTAACGATTGCTATATTTTCCAACAATAATTACTATCTCAAAATATAATGGTAGATAATTTTTGTAGCAATACTTGCCGTAGTAAGTTTTAGAAAATAGAAAAAAAATAGATTCAATACCTAAGCTTATAAAAAAAAATACTTATGTTTTAAATTTTAAGAACACAAATCGTTCATATAAACGAAAAATAAAGAGGCAAATTAGTTTGTATGAAGAAAATACAATGACAAAGAAAAAAGAATTGCTTCATAGTTCATACATATTGAGAGTGGTTTTCAAATATTACACAATTGATGAAGAGAAAATACTACATTTGTTCAATTAGTACATTTTTCAAATATTATTACCAAAACAAAAAGAGAAAATATTATACGAATATGAAAAGATGTCAAATATTAATGATATGAACATGTGGAAATGGTATATTCATACTTGACTTCAGAGTCATTTATTATCGGTAATTGATACGTTTTTGAAAGTCTAACACAATTTTAGAGATGTTATGTCATTGGATTTGTTGGAGAAATTTTTATATGTTTATTCCTTATTCACATAACTTTTTTAATCCTAAATAATAGGTATTCGTACATAGTTCAAATATTGAATAATTTAATAAGTAAAATTTTAATAGATCTCAATGTTTTAAATAGTATGAAAGTAGCTTAAATTATAATTTTGTCTAATATAAAATAGATTTTAAAGAATAAAAAAGATGAACGATATATAGATTCATGTGGTTCATTATTATAATACGTTTGCATTAAATATATGATTTTGTGGGGTTTTCTATTTTTTAGCAATTCATATAAGGTAAGGTTCACACATTAGTTCATAAATATTAGGAATTATTATAGAACTCAAATAAGAAAAAATTAATAACTAAAATTTAGTTGATTTATAACTAAGCATCAGAAAAATAGCTAAATTATAATTTTGTTCAATGTAAAACCTGTTTTAAAAGGGTAAAAAGACGAATAATATTTATCAAAGGATCTTTGTGCTTTTAATATAGCATAGATAAATATATATAAATAAGTAGATTTATGAACATTCGTATTGAACATGTTTTCCGTTTAAGTCATTAGAATAGCTAGAAAATAATAGTTGTAACGTATTAATTAACTGCGGATAATTTAAAATTTTAAAACATAACTTAGTATAAAATGACATTCATAGTTACATTTTATTATTATTTTGCTAGATACATACATGTTATATGGTTGAATCTCATTTAATTATTCTTTTATAAACATTGCTCTTACTTCATGTATTAAATTAATATATGAAAACTAATCGCTAGCATAATTAAAATATCAAGTTGATTTTGTGTTGCAATTTATACTATTATGACCTTTCGTTTGTAAACTCACAAAAGGATATGAAATAATTAAAAATGACACGAATATATATTAATTATTCTTTTATAAACATTGCTCTTACTTCATGTATTAAATTAATATATGAAAAACTAATCGCTAGTATAATTAAAATATCAAGTTGATTTTGTGTTGCAAGTTATACTATTATGACCTTTCGTTTGTAAACTCACAAAAGGATATGAAATAATTAAAAATNTATATATATATATATATATATATATATAGCACGAATGCCCTTAGTGAAATGTCGTTCGCCTTTTTTACCCTTAAAAATATATTTTACATTAGATAAAATTGTAATTTAAGTTATTTTTCTAATATTTAGGCTATTGAAATCAACTAAATTTTTAATTGTTAAATCTTTCCTTATTTGAATTATATAAAACTCTTAATATTAAAGACTCTAAATATCAACTAAAAATCTTAACATATATAAATTATTCCTTATTTAAATTAGATTTGTTGTTTTTGTCCTTTACGCTAGGGTTTGTTCCATCCATGAAAGTAGTAATGCAAAATAAGCTATTGGTATCACAGACTCACAATTAGCCGTCATGTATTTAGACGAAGTCGTGAAGAGCATCGTACAACAATCAAAGGAGGGAAATTGTTATATGGTTCTTCTAGGTGATGATGAGTTTGAAAATATTTTTATTGCTCATGTGAAGCAAATTCGACTGAATATTGATTTTCAATTGAATTTCTTACGTTGTATTATTTTCTTCAAAATTCTAAAGTACGTTCAATAACAATCGCAATACTCATTAAATTCGTTTAATTTTTTATAAATCGAGCGTACTAATGAAAATACGAGATTTTTGCGTAGTTAGGAGACGTATATACTTTGTAGGGTGCGTGTTTATATGTAGTTTGTTATTCAATTCAGCTAATTTAATTCAATATTTGAGATCAGATTACTTGATATATTTATTCGGTAATGATTGTATCTTTATGAAATTTAGTGTGGTAGGTACCTAATTGGTAAGATTCCAATGATGAATAAAGGTATTTATTAAATTTAGGACCCATGGTAATCATGCTATAACTGAATTGAAATTTGTAGGAATAATACGGGTTGCATAGAGCATATTGGTAAGGAGATCTTTGGCAAGTTAAAGATGACGCCCATAATAACAATATGAATTAATGTATGTAATTACATTATTGTTTTATGTATTAAGTTATTTGTACTGAAGTTTCTCCTTTTTTTCCTCACATAACATCGTACATTTATTTTTTCAAGTATAAAATTATCTTGACTATTGCTTGTTGGGAGTATATAACTACGAAGGACCGAAGGTAAAAGAGTAGTTTTTCTATATTAAATTTTTTATAGTACACTATAATATATTTAGGGGTAGGCTTGAAAGAAATTATCACTTTGAGTGCAAAGAATTGAACTTAAATTCCGATACATGACTGGGGTTTCATGGGTGAAGAGCTTAATTATTGTCTTCCTTTTAGTTACAAAATGATGTTGTGTTCGTTAGGAGTTCATTATTCTAATGTTAAGACCTGATCTATCTGATATTAAAGCTATTAAATTTATTTATAGTAAATATTTTAATACGCGTTTCATATAATTTTTTAAAAATATTTCATAGTACGATGCAGATTTGTTTGCTCGAAAAACTAAAAGAAACATTCAGAATGTGACCTATTTGCATAAATATTCAGTTGTTTTATGTTAAAATGTCTGAATGTGGAAGTATTATATATTCCGGGTGTTAAAAAGTCTGAATGTTATTCTAATTCAATCATATTCTAAAAATGAGACAATTCTATATTTTGTGATTTTAACCAATATAGAATTAACTCTTTGACTTTGTTATTACATAGATACAAATTAGAGATCTATATCGAAATTCTAATTGAATGTGTCACTACTATTCCTAATTATAAATAAACGAATAAAACTCTACTTTCATTTTTAAAAATCAATTTGTTCAAAGACATTTCGGATATGTTTGTGATTTGCATTGATTTAAATCGCATTGTCAAATAATTGCAAAAGTTGAACTCTATTTGCCAATGTCGATAGTAAAATTGATCATGACAAAGTAGTCGAGCAACAAAAGGGAATATTGTCACGACCCAAAATTCAATCTGTCGTGATGACGCCTATCATGGTACTAGACAAGCCGACTACTGAGACAATTCCAACACTTTCAAATTTAAGATATGCTAAAACAGGTTTAAATAAATAAATATCTCATAAAACTGATAAAACCACCGCAACTCAATACAGAAGTTCCCAAAACCACGGTGTCACTGAGTACATGAGCATCTATTCAATACAAGTCTACAATACTGTCTAAGAAAACTGAAACTGAATAAATAAGACTGAGGGATAGGGGAGAGTCAAGGTCTGCGGACGCCAGGGCAAATACC